GTCAGGGGGAAGTTGTGTGCTGTGAGAGTGGTGAGGTGCTGGAACAGCTGCCCAGAGAGGCTGTGATGCCCCGTCCATCCCTGGAGGTGTTCAAGGCCAGGTTGGATGGGGCCCTGGGCAGCCTGAGCTGCTATGAAATGGGGAGGTTGGTGGCCCTGCGTGTGGTTGGGGGTTGGAGCTTCGTGATCCTTGAGGTCCCTTTCCAACCCAAGGCATTCTGTGATTCTGTGAAACTTGCCCTGGCTCCTCCTGCTGCTGAGCACACTCACAACATGGGGCAAACACCATTACTGTTGGTACTTCACATCTGACCATTGCCCTGTGCTCTGCTGGAATTATCCCAGCACACATAGCTCAGCAGGGATAGCCCAGCTTCATGCTTTCACAGCCTTTCTGCATTCCCTTGGCTTTTTCATGGAGACACCTGACTCCCATGAAGCCTCTTGTTGATGCAATGACAGAAGTGAAAAAGGCAGAAAGAAATGGGTGATGACTGAAAATAGCTAACCCACTTGAGAGCGATAAAAACATCTGCTGACAATCTGGTAACCAGATCTCCTTGATACCAGCAGAAAGGAAAAAAAAAAAAATACACAACAGAAAAACAAAAAGGTGGGCGGTGTACGTGGTACAAAGAAAGGGAGTCCCTGAGTGTCAGCATCTGGCTGGGCCACGTGTAGCACAATCTAATTAGTTTTCAGTTCCACACCCACAACTGAAAGATAAAAAGGCACAGCCCTCCTCCCCGAGGAGGTAAGAATCTTCAAGCATCAACGCCACATTTCTTTCTGCAAGTCAGCCTCTCCCACAGCCCCACTTACATCTTGACTTCTGCAGCCATGCGGCGGGGGCTGAGTGATGAGGGATGCGCTCCATCCCCTTCCAGCTCCCGCACCCATCCGCCTCGAGGTCGTGTGTCTTTGATCAGGGATTCGTTCCTTCCTCGCCTTTAAACTGAATTGATTAAGCTGGAGATGAAGGCTCCTTACATCTCCCGCCACAGCTGGGATGTGGGGACCGAATGGCAGCTCCTAGGTGCTGTCAGCACACTGGGGCTGTGTGGCCTGGCGAGGTGAGGCTGCCTGCAGCTTGTCCCCTTGGTAAGGCCAACACATTCCATGCACTCTTCTTTGTGACAGAGCTACCAGGCCTCAGTGTAGCACTGCTGGCAGGACCGTCCCAGGCGCTGGGTGCTGGCACTGAGAAAGCCACGGCGTGATTTTCTCCTACCCTCTCCGTAGCCTCATGTTGCTTTTTAATGTAATTGCTGCCATGGCAGATCACAGATTCTCGCTGAGCTATCCACACACTGCCCTAATCTTTTTTCCTGAAATAAAATGATGCCTCATGACTGTGACCAAGGAATACAGCTTTTCTTAGCACGCTCCCCTGGGATCAGGAATTTCTCTGTCAACGGACACATACATCAATGGGAGATGAAAAGCAGCCTGTGGAATGAGTTTTAAACATGTATCGCATATTTCACTGCTGCTGCTGATGTGCTACTCAGAAGGCCTTTTTAGAGTCTCAGCCCGTGCCTCACGGCTGCTCTATACTTAATAGGATTGTTTTATATTTTTTCTTGCACAAGAATCGGGGCAAGAAAGCTATTTCAGTTGCCGCTTCTTTGCAGACACCTCCTCAATATGAAGCTTTTTGTTGAGTCTCCTGATTGCTTTCCATGTGGGTGTCTCAGCTTTGTTAAAGAACAGGAGCCCATAATGTGCAGAGTTGCAATGCAGTCTCACCTCACTGGGACGCTGTGCTGCAGGAGCATGGCTCCTATGGATCTCTTTGTCATAAGGGGACCCTGTGTTACAGCCCTAAATTTTAAATGACCAGGAGGGAAAGGCAAGTCTGCCTTTGGCCCCTTGCTGATTTTTGCACTTGCATTGATGCCTGGGATTCTTCCAGATGTGCAGAGATCTCTTTTCCCTCCTTTCCCTACCTTTTCTAGGTGACAACACCCACATCCACATATTTCTTAATTATTTCAGGTCAACCATACACGGAAATCCTTCTTATTCTTCCTTCTTTTTTCCCTGTCTACGTGAAACTACCCTGCTATCCTGCTTAATTTTGTCTTCCTCTGATAGTTCATTATAATAATGCAGAGTTAAATACAATCTCTGTTCCAGAAAAGGTATGGGCAACCAGAGCGTGACAGAAACAAAGCAGGGGTTGTTGGGCACAAGTTGGTACAGGAGAGATGCCCTACGTATTGAGTGTTCATTGAGTGAGCAGAAGGCAATCAAAATAGTTTGTGCACTGGTCCATTAGAAAAGCTTGGTGTGATCCTTGAGCCAAAATGTAAACACAGAGTAGAATTTTTCCAACAAAATAAATGTCACTTTGGGAATAGATTCATTGCGAGGTAAAGTCAGCCCTGGTGTGCAAGCTCAGAGATAGGCTCCTGGGGTATCTTATTTTGAGCCTTCTTGGTCGTGCTGGAACGTGATGAGGAACAAATAGAAGAGGAGAGGGGCAATGGGTTCCTTGAGAAAACCAGACTGGTCAACGTGACTGACAAAGGCAAAAGCAAAGCCAGAAAAAATGTGGAAAAAATATAAGAGAACAAGAGATCCCAAGAGAGCACTGACTGCGTGCGTATGTATCTGTGTGAAAGTTATTTCTTTAGATTAGCACCCAGCTTATACAAGTTCTAGTTTACATAGATGGGAGAGATAGTGCAAATGACTACCAGGTGAGATGTTATCCAATTAATGAGGCTGCCATTACAGAGCTGCAACAAGCCCACCAAAAATCGTTCCCTGTTTGAAGTGATTGATACCTCATAGAGAGAAGTCACCGATGCCAGCTGATTGTTCTGCAGAGCTCTGCCATACAGCAACTCCTCCTCTTTAATGGGAAAGCTCACGCCTACCCCATGTTTTTATACTGAGTCATCACGGGGGAGAAAAATCATACTTCAAAGCACAGAATAATGGGTCAACTAATTAATTTTTTTTAATTGCTAGAGAAGTTTCTCTAAAATTAATTTCCATCTAGCTATTTTTTCTCATCTTCCAACCTCAATCCTTCAGTTTTGACAGAATGGCAGAATCTCAGAATGGTTGATGGCCTTCTAGGTCAGGCAATTCCAATGTCTGCTCAAGCAGGGGCACCCGGAGCGTTGTGCCCATGCCCACGTCCAGGCAGCTGTTGGACGTCTCCAAGTCTGTGATCTGAGATCTTCCACAGTCTATGGAGAACCCTGATTTCTCTAAATGTAGTTTAGAGTTAGCTGTCCATTATAGAGAAAGCCACATTTGGACACTGTAGTCCCAGCTGGATGATGTGAACCCACGTATTTCAGTGCTACGATGACAGCATTAAATTACCTTTCATGAAGAGAGATGAACTGATACATTTTAAGACTCAGAGGCCTCATTTATACTGTTAAAACAAATAAAACAGTGCCAGAATTGGTTCTCTGGCCCTAAGACTGATGTGAGCAATCTGACTGGGTCTGCAAAGCTGAACTCTCGTGGCCTCCAAGCAGAGGGCTGTGTTTTCACTGCTGAGGGAGAATGCAGTGTATCTCAAACCTCTGGGCATCATCTGGAGGAGTCTGAGCTGCTCCCAGCCCAAACTACACCAGAGACCCTTCCTAATGTTAAAAGCATAAAAATATCCAACCCATGTATTGCCTGTGCCAGTACCCTGGCACTGTTTACAGGGATGGAGGCAACTGCGTGTCTGGGTTGCAGTGAGGGGATCTGGACTCCCATTTCAGCTCTGCCAGATGCTTTTCACGTGACCTTAGTTACTAACTTTGGGTGAGATTAATTCCATGCGATGTTGACTAATGGTGAGAGTGCCTAATTAAACTAGTCATGTGGGCTCCTTCTCTGATCAGAGAAGGAAGAGAAAGCAAATTCAGAAGGTGAATCATCCCATTTTAAGTCTAGTGTCAGAGACAAATGAGATGAATTGCCCTCTGGAAGTAGCTATTTCTTTCCATTAACTGTAGAGGAAGTCTACATTAGAAGAGTTTAGACTAGATGCCTGATTTATAAATGGCTGAAGTTAAGTAAAATTAGTACTGACCTTAATCTCGCTGCATGCCTGTTTTTCCATATGTTGAATGGTAGAAGTAATGCCTTCTCTGCCTCCTTCAAAGGCTCCATTGGTTGAGGAGCATCTGTTACTACTTCAAAAAGAAATGAAACTTGGGAGCAAAAATACAACATTACGTAATAATATAACATAATGCAATTAGAGAAGTAAAACCTTTCCTCTTGAAACACCCGCAGGACAATATGAGGAATACCAAGGTGCCACTTGGTGCATCCTGTTGCTTTGGGCACTTTTCCCCTCTGCATTTCAACAACCAAGCATCCATGGGAGGCTTTTCCCAAGGCAGCCCTGTGGCATAAGGGCAGTGAGCCTGCTTTTGGGGAGAAGTACAAGCATGGAGGAAGGCTGAATATGTAAGGGCAGTGTAGGACCCGGTCTTGGCCTGAAGCTTCTCAAATGAGAGTGACTATTTACTTTTTGGAGACGCTCTCAGGTTATGGAGGAGTTTTCTTAGCAAAAATCCACAACATATAGTCCGGTCATGGAATAACTGCCCCTCTTGATGACTTGTACATATAAGGTTTACTTTTGGGAAAAAAAAAAAGTTTTGCCCCTTTAACATTCCAGTGGAGTTAAAGCAGAAAAAAAAGCCAAAAACAAACCATAAAGACCTTGTGTGGTGTCCATAAGGGCTTATTTTGATCCAAATTACTGCATTACATATCAACACGGGCACAGCAGTGCTAGTTAAGGCTTCTGCCAGCACAACCACATTCAAAACACCAAAACACCAATTCCCCACCAATGTCACTGTGTTACTGGGAGTAGCGGTGGTCCCTACATAGTCCATTAATCTGCTAACAGGTCCTTAGAGACCTCTTTTTTTTTTCTTTTTTTTTTTCTTTTTTTTTTTTTTTTTTGTATGTTGAAGTACTAAATCTTGTTATTAACGCTTTTATTTTATGATTTGCTGTTTCCAGGGCACAGACAGAAGCTTGATGACTCTAAACCTAGTTTGTTCCCTGAACGCCTCAGTGATTTAGGGCGCATTCCTCATCCCAGTATGAGAGTAGGGGTCCCGACCCAGAGCCCACGGCCCTCTCTGAACTCTGCACCAAGTCCTTTTAATCCACAAGGACAGAGTCAGATTACAGGTAAGAGACAGAACCATAGGTTTGACTTGCACAGGCAATGGTAGTAATTGCTTATGGATGTGTGTATCTCAGCTGTAGAAGTAGAGGCTATTACAGAGGGAGAGAGGTGTTCCAGGCTAAGCTAGGTGGGAAGTGTTTTTTTCTGTAGCATTTGAAGCTGAAAATGTCTTTCTTTTCTTAAAATGTCTTTGTCATAGGTTCAAAATAGTCAATCTGGGTAAATTGAATAGGAGTCTGGTGAAATCCTAACTGCCATGTTGCTGTGCCTTCACCTCTGGCTCTGTAATAGTACCTATTAGCACGTATTAGAACAGATATTTTTATTCAGCCTTTATATTTTGCACTGTTGTTGAGAGAAGCACCCAGAATTCAGTGGTCTTCCTGTCAGAACAATAACACAATCTTCTCGTGTGGCAGTTTCCTTCCAGCACCAGTGCTGACCAGTGTTACAATAAACAGACTGTGTTACGGAGAAATCTCCAAAGATTGCTTATGAGGGTTGTATGCAACGTTTATGATGGCATGCTGAGAGACAGATTTCAGTGTGCTGAGAGAAATGGTGAAATGCCACGTGTCACAGACCGTACGCCTGAAATCAGATGTTTAACTGCAGCTGTGCCAGAAGTTTGCAACAAAACTGTAAAACCTACAAAAAAAAAAACAAAACACCCCGATTTTGTTAGTTTTTCTAAATGTAGAGCTGGTTGTATTTTTCAAAGGAGTTTCAAAGCAACCTCTACCCAATTATGGTCATCGCTACGCTCGAAACTTCTGCTGATGTATTTGCATCTCTCCGGGATGCAAAGAGGTGATGCCATTGACCAGTTCACTTGCTAGAACTGTTGGACGGCTCAACTTGGATGAAAGTTTGTCAGCAAAACTCTCAACACAATTTTCTAGGCAGCCTTAAAACTCAGTTTTACTGTTCTGTTGTGTCTACACCAGGAGCCCTTTGCCAACGTAACACACCGGTATTCCTGTACTGGTAAAGCACTCCTGGTGTAGACATAGTCTTTGAGTCAACCTAGGAAGACTTCTGGTTTCATGTTTCAAGTGGTTTTGACATGATACCAGCTGAAACTTAGTGGTTTTAACAAAGTGTTGTGGCTTTCTTCTTCTTTCTTTTTCTTCTTTTTTTAAGTTCAACTGGTCTATTAATTTGCAGGGAGGAAGAGAAGTAAGTGGGTTAATTTGAACCCCAAGCACTGAGCGAATTGAAACAACAACAAAAAAAAAGGTTCCCATGAGCTGTGGCAAAGCTCTCCCAGCTCATGAAGTCTAGCTTTAACTAGACTTCTATAACATCTATAATATATTAAATATGTTGGTATCACTCATTACATCTAATGCCCACCACCTTCCCAGAGCAGTCTTTTTGGCCAGGTTTAGTTGGACATGAGAAGTCAGGACTCTTGTACTTAACATTTCCTGGGTATGAACTTCCAAATGAAGCCCAGTATTTCTTCTCACATAACCACTCTCTTCTGTTTGACCGTGTTTGAGGACATATCAGTTCCCCCCAAAATTGGGCAAAATCTGAGGCTAAAATCAGCTTCTCTCCTGTGCCTCCATAGTTTACCTATTGTGGAAAGCTGCATCTAGGAGTGAAGGAGGGGGAAATTCTTCCTGACCCCATCTGGTGATCAGCTTATGCCCTGAAGCACGAGAACTGAGATCCCCTTGTAATTTTCTTCCTCTCTAAGTGTAACCTCATATGCTGTTCTCATTCACATAAATGCCTCCTGTAGAAAATGTTCTGCTGGCTTTGATTAATAGAGTACTTCTCTGCCTCGTTATGAATCAGCAGCAGCATTTACAGCTCCTGGAGGTGACAACTTCAGATGAGGTTTAAATAAGCCTGGTTGCAGACAGAGCTGAATGCTGTTCCCTATCTGCTTTGCAGCTTGAAGAGTTCAAAGCCCGCTCCAGCTGAGGCTTCATTCAGAGTGGGAAGTGCTGCTGGTGGGGTAGAGGGAACGAGCTGAACCCAGGAAGGCAGGCTGACTTTCCCATCTATTATGGATTATATGCTTCTCTTGACAGATAAATCCAGAGTCATGGGATACTTTAGAATCCCAGAGGGCTCTCATTTTCCCTAAAGCAATGAGGACTCTGCTACGTATTCAGATTTTTAGTGAATACGGGGCTGTGCAGTGTTCCAATACAGTGCCATGTTGTTCCCCACTCGTCTCCTCAATTTCTAGCAGCCAGGTACCCAGCTCACAAAGACTATCGTTAGCTTTCCATTTAATAAAGCCATTCATGTGAGCGTGGTGCATCGGTGCGAGCCCTGTGAATTGCACTGGCTTCCCCACAAGGCTTTTTTTGTGCTCTTCAGGATGTTGATTGCAATCTGCAAAGCTCAGCATGCTTTGATGTTCCACCAAAGCACTGGGATGCTTCTGCGGACGGTCCCTCGCGGTTCTCCTGCGAGGAGTGGATGCTCCTTGCCACACAAGCTGCGCCAGTGGGAGACAAAGGGAATGCCTCAGAGCAGACACCTCTTTGATCAGGTGCTGGCAGCCCATGGGAAACTGCAAAATGTATGGCTGCTGGGTGCGGTGATAGGGCTGCTGGTGCTGCCCTCCTCCCCCAGTTCCCCAAAGGATTCTTAATGTGGTCGCTGGGCCGGTAGGGTCTGGGGATGTGTTGAAAGGAGTACAGATGCTCGTCTGAACCCAAGGATGTTTTTATTGCCTTTCTTGGAACTAAGCAAGCATTCCTTTTAGGTATACCTTTGTTTCTTAATCTCTTACCTAGTAATTTAGGGGAAATAATTAATTCCTTATAAATTTAACAGTAAATACTGCATTCCTATGACAAAATCCGTATTATGCCTAGTAAGCACATAAACTGGTTTTGTGTAGTTCCACTTGAGGTCTTGCATAGCTGTTGCATGATTAAACACAAATAATATTTAAAGCCTGACTGGCCCACACCTGAGCACGGAGAAACACTTTGGGGTTCACTCTTACATTTCTTCTCTCTGTCTGGGTCGTGTTTATTTGCCTCGAGTATCAGAGTACAGCTTCTACAAATCGCAGCGCAGTCCCAAACCCACCGCCACACCGGCCTGCAGCAGCACGAGGCACAGAGTTGCTCTTATTCAACATGGCATTTTAACTAGGAGCCTGCAAAAGCAACAGTGAAGGGTCATTAAAAAACAAATCGCCCAATAAGCAGATGCCTTTGCTGAGGCAGTGCAGATTCAATTTGAACCCCACTTGCTGCCCGTAAATCAGGGATGCTGTCTGCTCACATTTGGATATTGGTATATTTGCTTTTTTTTTCGCTTTCCCCTCTCCCTTAATGGCACTGGAACAACTTGCAGGCGGGTCGAGTTACAGTCCTGCTCAGAGCCTGGCTCATTGCAGCACTGCTTCGGTATGAAATGAGCAAAACTGTTCTTTTTCTAAACTGCAACCAGTGTGGATGAGCTTCTGTCAGAGCACATCTGACGGGGGCTGTGAGTGGGGCTTCCGTGAGGTTTCCTGCTCCATCACCTTGGTGGCTCCATCTGATCAATGGGCGACCTGTGACTTGCAGCACTGAAAGAGCAGTGCTCAAAAAGCAGGTCCTGTGATTTTTTCCTTTTTTTTTTTTCTTTTTCTGCTTCCCCCCCTTTCCCCCACACTTCAGTGATGCTGCATTTTCAGCCCTAGCTGTTTTTCATTGATTTTAAAGTTGTAGAAAGCAGATTTAAGGAATTTGGAGGTGAAAGTTAGTGGGAGGATGCATCGCCACTATCAGGTAGAGCACTAAGAACTGAGGCTGGTGGGAAGGCTGTGGGCAGAAAGCAGCTTCAGCTCCTCGCGTGGTACCTGTCCTCCATTCCCCCGGTTCTGGGCTGGTGGGGCTGGGCACTGCCCTCTTGCAGAGTCAGGGAGATGGCACAATCCTCCTCTCGTTCAGCGCGGTTGTGGGGTGTGAATGTGGGGCTGTGAAGCACCTGTCTCAAAGACCGAAAGCAGCAGCTCAGTGTCTGCTATCTGAGACCACCAGCCATGGAACAAACCGGGTAGCTGTTTGTTGTAGCTGGGCAGTGTGTGAGCTCTCCCCTGAGTTGCCTGTGTTAGACCTGGGACAGCAGCATGCTGCAGCATGCACCAGTCTGCAGCCTTGCACATCAGCCTGCTGAACGCAGCAGGCACGGTACGTGATTGCTTGGAGAACACCAATTAGAAATAGCCCATGCTGTAGGTATACAGGGTGCATTGTGCCTTCAGTTCACGGGATAAAAGCTACAAGTCAGCATACGAGATGGAGGAGCTGGGATTCCTTGTTACAAACCCTAGGGTGGCTGCAGTCTGCTGTGCTTTATGCAAATTGATTGCATCCTTGGGGCAACTGGCGAGCTGCCACTATGAACCTCCATCGGGTGAAGTCTGTGTCCCTCCTGTTAAAGTATTCTTTTAACTTTTCTTTTTTTCCTTTGCTATTTAGTTGTCCTACTGGCAAGACTTGTTCAGCTTAGTTCTTTTTTTTTTTTTTTTTCCTTTAGAATTGTGACACTGAGGGACTGAGAGGAAAAATGGTTGTAGAGGTTCTTAAGGCCAAAATCTGGTCTCAATTACAGTGGTGTCCGTAGGGGTGTAACTCCACTGCGTTCATTGATTGAACTGGGCAATCCAGATCAAGCCCTGGGCTTTCAAATGTTCCCATGAAATAGTCAGAGGATAGGAGGAGGTTGCATTTTGTTGTTGTTTTGCTGGGGTTGGGTTTACAACAATAGCGTGTTTACTCATGCAGAAAGTCATCTTGGCTTTGTTAAGATCATAACCAAAGATATTTGCTTTGGGTGTTTACCACAGATAGCTCCAGACAGCCTGTTTTTTGGTATCAGCAGTAGCACTAATGGAATGGGCAGCAGCCAAGACTGGAACCAACAACTGGATTTAAATAAGTGTTTTTGGAAAGTGTGCGTACACATGTGACGTTTAGGTTTTATAGGCTGTATGCTGAGGGGCTGTGAGCCTATGGTCATGCTCTGAGCACCAGAGCTCAGCTTGGGAAATGGAAATTTGATCTTTGTCTATAGTAAATCTGTATGCTTCATAATGTATGCTCTGGGCAGCCCGGTCCAGTAGCTGGCAATCCTGCACATAGCAGGGGGTTGAAACTAGGTGATCACTGTGGTCCTTTTCAACCCAGGCCATTCTGTGATTCTATGATATGATATGATATAATCCAGCGCCAAAGGAAGATAGCTACTTCTGCAGGACAACCTTCCAGCTTTCTCTTCTCTCTTTTGACACTTTTCCACTGAAAGAAGAGAGCTGACATTGCTGGATGATCAGTGGGAGAAATGGGCCATGAGGAGTTGCTCTATTTCAGGCTTAGTTTTATGCATCCAAATTTAGGCTTGGTCTGCTATGAAATGTGGAGGTTGGTGGCCCAGCCTGTGGCAGGGGGGTTGGAGCTTCGTGATCCTTGATGTCCCTTCCAACCCAGGCCATTCTGTGATTCTGTGATGAGGCAGATTTTTCAAAGCTCTTATTTTCCACTAAGCTGATGCAGTCAGCTTGACTACGTGGATCAGGAGCTGATCAAGTCTTCCACTGGCTATCTGTGTGGCAGTGAAACTGAGAGACAAAAGCATGTGCAAGACCAGGTTTTCCTGCCTCGCTGAGGCACACCTGGCAGTGCCATCAGGAAGGGGCTGTCGCTGGGTTAGTTGGTCCTCACCCACCGACTCATTTCCGCTCATCTGCACCCAGCGTGATTTTGCATATGCATGAAAAAGCCCCGTCCTTCATGAGTATTGCACAAGCCGCACTTTTCTTCACACCCACACAGACTTAACAAAAATGTTTACAAAAGGAGGACGGTTCTTAGGAATCACTCCAAAATTTTCAAGTGCAAAGTCAAATTCAGAGCGGCCCTCTGCCTCTGTTGCTGCTGTTTAAGGCTGGGCCAGCCCGGTTGCAGGCCTCTGGTGCTGGGAGTTGGGTGGGCTTCTTCCTGAGCCGTTCAGTGTACTTCTGTATTCACATTTTCCCTTGTTTTCTAGGGATTCCTTCAGGCAGGAATTCATGTTAGCTCTGCCTCAGAGCTCTGGGGTTTCTCATATATTCGGGGCTTTCAGCAATTAGAAAGATACGTTTTGGCTGCCAGCGCATGCAGCGCTTCATGTGACAGCCCAGAGCCTCTGGCTCTCACTCACAGTGGGTGCCTGCCAGCCTGGCAAGCGTGCGTGGCCCTCCACTCTCTGCAAACAGAAGGAATGGTCTCATCTGTACGGAGGCATGGAAAACTTCTTGCAAATCTGCTTGCACTGTCTGCCCCACTGGTGTGCTCAGTGGCCGTGCCACCCCTTCAGCACGGAGGAGGTGACCCTGCTGAGCACACTGCTGCATTCCCTTCTGGCACCCGCTTGGATTTGCATCGTAAGGGGAAGTTGTGGAAGCAGGCACCCCTAAGCAATAGACCTGGCAACGTCCTGCCTCCGCAAGGCTTGATTCTGTGGTACGGGAAGCCAGAAGAGAGGTGGGGCCTCTGTGGCCAAGGCCTCCGCACAGCAGCATTGCGGGGAACGTCCTTGCAGCAGGCCGAGCGCTGCTGTGTGTGGCCCACAGCTCCCTGTCTTCTCTGAGGACTACATGGGCTGCTTTTTGGCTCCGTGGGGTGGCTGTTGGCTCCGCTGCATTTTACTGCAGGCACTTGGCAATTGCACTGAGCAATGACCGTGACCCTTTGGGCGAGCAGACCTCGTTTGAATTCTGCTCCTCACATGTCCAGACAGAGGCTGGTTTTAGGGCATTTACTCAGGATCTGGTAAAACTGGTATCTTTGGTTTCCGCTTTCCCAACAGGCCAAAGATAATGCTTGAAGCCCCAGGACAAATTCCCCACCTGGCCTCAGCCATGACCTTGGCCCTGCCTCAGTGTGGAGAAATCACACTGACCTCCAGCTTGGCCTGCTGCAGCCTTTCTTCAGTCACTGAGCTCTGATGCATCTTCTGTTCAATTTGGTTGAGGATTTTCCTCCAAATTATTTCCTATTCTGTGAGAAAATGCGATATAATTTCCCTGGAGCTGAGTTTCCTACAGTCTTGACTTGAGAGAGGCCCAAGTTCACACTTGAACATCTGGGTTGAAAGCTTCTAGCCAAGAGAAGCACCCCATTTTGTGAATGAAATACTCAGGGAACAAATTACCATTCTTTTCCTTAAATTTAGGTAGAAAGTTCAACAAAAGATCTGTGAAAGGGCCAGAAGCAGTTATGTCACAGCACAGTGTCTTCCCTAACAGCCTGTCCTCTTTCTCTAAAACACTTTGCAATTTAACATCTCACAGTTTGGAGCTCATGAAGAGTTAAAATCAAGTATAAATTAGAACACAAATCTGGTGATGTGGTGCTGTAGATGGGAAGAGCTATAGGGGAGTGTAAAAATTAAGCTAAATGTCTTGAGAGCATCTGAAATGCTCTGGAGTCAGCAGATGGTCCATCCAGCCCCATATTCTGCCTCTGACATTGTCACAAGAAATACCGTTTTGAAGGCTGTGTGAGCCCATTCATTTTTTGCTGTTAGAGTCACAGAACCATAGGATCACTCAGGTTGGAAAAGACCTTAAGATCATCGAGTCCAACCACAACCTAACCGTACTATCCTAACTAATAACCCTCCTCTAAATCATGTCCCTGAGCATGTCCCTGATCCTTCTTGTGTTCGCAGAGGCATTTGCACTTGTTGAATTAAGCCAAACCTAGTGTGAGTGTTCAGAGTGGGAGAATAAAAGAGTCATCAGAATCTCTTCATGCCATGATGGCTACACCAAAGAAGTAGCATAAGCCTCCACATGGCAGCTCCTTTCCTGAGGTTTTCACCATCTTAAACCAAATTCCTGCAAAAACATCCTCTGCTGTGATTTTTCTCAATCTTTACCTGCTCTACAGTTTCCTTCCAGTGGTGGGGCTGACTTGAAAGCACAACTTGAAGGGACCCTGTTTTGGATTCAGAAACACGGGTTGAAAAGCTCTTGGAGTTTGAAGGAGCGTAGGTTTGAGATTGTGCTCCTGACACATCATTAATTTTAAGATCGTTTTCCCAGCAAGCACAGGCTTTCCGTTCCCAGTTGAAGATCATTTACCATTGACTGAATGGTGAATTATAGTAGTGGAATGAGGCAGAGAAATATGTCGATATCAGATATAACAACGAGCAGTCAGTCAAATTTGAACCTGCGCCAATCTATACAACTCTAGCCCTGAAATTGTTAAAACAAAGAAGTTCATTACATTTAATGATCAAGTGTCCTTCGGATTTCTGAGGAGTTTATATTAACCATTTATATTACTCAGCTCTAATATAAATGGCAAACTCGGGGAAAATCCTCTTAAAATTAAATTGGAACTTTTTTTTTTTTTTTTTTAATCTATATAGTTATTTTGCTTCAAGGAAGTATCTGCTTTCCAGACATCTCTTCAAACAAATCATGTCTGAAAGAAAAAATAAACAGGGCATAGCTAAAACTACAAGCTTTTGCTGTGTGGAAGAGTAGGGAAAGGAGTTTAAAAAAGAGAAAAAAAAAGGTTGAATTTCCTGAAAAAGTGCCTTTGCTTATGCCATGTGGCTGTCACGTTCCTGTCTGCAAAGCAGTGCTGTAGGACAGTGCTCTGATGAAGCAGGTTCTCCAAACTGAGTGGACCTGGTATGCTTCACTGAAGGTACCGGGGAGAATTTGGATGGTTTCTGTGGACCAGTTTAGAGACAGTTATCAGTTTATCTGGCAGTGCCCAGAAAAACGTTGGGGGTTGAAAGTGCTTGGTTTTTATCAGCATAAAGAAACAAAAATAATAATTGACTGTTGAAGATTTTGTTTGCGTCTTTATCACCGCATACTAAGTGAGAACAAATGGTTTCTGAATCGCAGCACAGCTGAGTAAAAGTAGCCCTTCCTCTTCCTCACTCGGTGCAGCCCACCAGACCTTCAGCAAAAAATAAACAGTATTTATCCTTAAAATAATTTCCTTCGTTGGGAGCTTTAATGAGTACACATGAATGCATCATTAGCTTCTGCTAGTTGTACCAATCCATCTGGCTTCATGTTGTTCTAATTGAGGTGACGGTAGGTAACTGGGCCAGCCTCCAAATGTGACATTTTTAGACAGATGCTAATAAGATTAATGACGTTTTCCTTCTTGGAGAGCATTTTCAGCACTAAAAACACTTTTTTGTCATGTTTGAACTGGATAACAACTTGACAGGCATGCCAAGTGCTGACTGTAGAGTCTCCTTGCCTTTTACATGCACTTCCCGAGCTCAGCTGCAGCATGCCCCCATGTCTCTCATTTACTGTCATCTTTTTTGTCCACATCCTCAAGGACTGGCGAGTCCCAGTGTAACACTGTCAGAGCTGGGTGAGAGACATCAGGAGTTTACAGAACAGCTGCTGAATCTTCAGCTCTGCTCTCTGCCCCATTCATTTCCCCCAAATATTTAGAAGGAAGTTTTTCCCCCAGAGAGTGGTGAGGCACTGGCACAGGTTGCCCAAGGAGGCTGTGGATGCCCCATCCCTGCAGGCATTCAAGGCCAGGCTGGATGTGGCTCTGGGCAGCCTGGGCTGCTGGTTGGCGACCTGCACACAGCAGGGGTTGGGACTGGAGGAGCGCTGTGGGCCTTTGCAACCCAGGCTGTTCTGTGATGATTCTGTGATTGTTACCAGGAGGGAAACTTGCAGAGCAAGGCTTAAACACATTGAGTCTGGAGGAGCAAGTTGTGCTTCGTTGCGTTGTCCTTCCTTGTGACACTGATGTGTGTATGTTCAGTAGCCCCATCTCTTTCAGTTAGACTGTCGGTGCCATACAATTTCTCTTCCTTACCTTTTGATTTCTTTTTCTTTTTTCCAGACCCCAGGCAGGCGCAGTCGTCCCCGCCGTGGTCCTATGATCAGTCGTACCCGTCCTACTTGAGCCAGATGACTTCGCCGTCCATTCACTCCACAACTCCCCTGTCCTCTACCCGAGGCACAGGACTTCCAGCCATCACCGACGTGCCCCGACGCCTCTCAGGTAGTGTCCATGTTTCTCCTAAAACAATTACGCTGACAGGTACAGAGGCCGCCTGAATGGCTGCAGACAAACCCTACTAAGAACAGCAAAGCTTGGTCGGTGATAACAGAGCTTCTGCATGGTGGGTGGGGGTCAGAAAGAGCTGCTGCGGGCAGAGCATGAACGGTTTCAATGTCAATAGGTCCATTTCAGATCAGAATTTTTTTTTTACTGTGAAGCTGGTTCTTTGATCAAATTCTCTCTCTTCCGCTCCCTGCCCCCCCCAGGAGGATGTTTGCTTACATGTTTTAACATCACTGTGATATTCTTTATATTTTGGTCTTTTCATTTTGCATTGTGTGTGATGTTAGATAGATGCCTTTTATTTCTTCATTAGTGAGGGTGAAGGTTCATGCTCCCTCATTTTAATCCAGAAGCACAAGAAAGCGTGTTTCTTCCTTAGTTAATGAGTACTTCAGATGCTTATCAGAAACTAGCTGAGTCAGTTTAGGGTAAAGATTGGACAAATTGTGCTTTGGAAGGATGCAGGAGAGAAGAAACTTGTTTAGGAACACAAACAAGAGAGCAGCTAAAAACTGAGACTTTTTTTTATCAAACAAATGTACATTTATACACTGTGCAATTCACCTGTATGGTCTCAGCGATAAAACCATCTGCGTGGAGTAATCTGATTGCCCCAAAATAAGATAGAGCCTGTAATGGCACACAGTCACCATGTGTATCTTGCCAAGAATGAGGAACCTTAGGCGAGGGTGGCTCAGCATAAAAGCTCCAACCTTGCAAGTGTGGAAATACGAGCAGCATATGCCAAAAAGCACGTGTAACGTGAAGTCTTTATGATTCATTAATGAAAACTAAAGAATCAGCCTTATGACATTACTACTTTTTTGCATGTTTGCAAGATACTATTACAGTCTTGGATGCTGCTGCCATACACCTGTTTGACTTGCAGCCAGGTGAATTTCTTGCTGTCGTGTTTCCCCATCCACCACGCTCGTAGCACTGGTAATGCTGAGCACTGCACTGCACTGCATCCCTGACAAGCTGAACTCCAGCCAGCAGGCGTGTAGGATTTGATTAGCTTTGACTCCTCGATTTCTTTCATCTCAGAAGAGGGAAGCTTTGTTTCTCAAACAAACAGCTGCAAAGCCCTCTGCGGTCCCTTGCGTGCTCTGCATCTTCAGAGATGCCAACCGCCTCCGTGTGGGCCGAGGGGTGCAAGGTAGTGGAGCAGGTTCCCGTGGGCTCCCTGTGCAATGCGCTGACTTGGTGCAAAAAACTAGATTGGCTTGATGCTGAGAAAATGCTTTGTTTGGCCCGAAACAGGTTCCCTTTGGAGTCTCCTGATGGTCTGTGTTGTTGAATTGGTTATTTTTGCAATTGTGCCCTCAGCAACACCTCCGGGAGAGGCTCGGCTGGGAGCACAGCGGCTGCACCGCGCACCTGCCCTGCAGCCCTTGCTTGTCTGGGTGCATTCAGACGTGAGCGCCTGGCATGTGGGCGCAAGCAGGATGACTGAAGGCCTGCCTGTGTACATTATGTGGCCGTGTGCTGAACTTTTCCCTTGCGCTCCGCAGTTGGTTGCCATCGCTCTTCTTGCTCTTTGTCTTCTGAGGGCTCAACCAGCATCTACGCAGTGCTCCCACCCTGTCCCAGCACAGGGATCTTGCTGCCGGGTAGATTTAGAATTGAGAAAGGTGGGCTTTCATCTTCCATGTAAGTGCTAGAGGTTGTCTGCAGTGTTTGCTGATGTTCAGAATCACAGAGAGACATTGCTGGGTGGAGGAGAGCTGACTCCCGAACAGTAAGGAAATATGTTGCAGCCCCTACTGGGAATGCTACTCCAGAATTTCTGCCTCACACAGGAAGGCAGAATCTGGCCCCTTTTGTGTTTAAAGCAGAGAGAAAATACAGATTTAAAGCTTTCTATTACAGCAGCGGATTTATCTTTTGCACTCTGAGAGGAACAAACCGCCGCTCAGTTACTTGACACATCTTTCAGAAAGAGCTGAGCTTTGAAGAGGAAAAATGACGACTAAGAAACTCTTAAAAATATTAGAAAATGTCAGGCATCTCCAGCGCATAAGGGAGAAATTAGCATTTTACAAGGCCTTGAATAAAAACAAACTCTGCTTCCCAATATGGTGGCAGAAACCTGATTATCAGGGCTGTTAAAAATATACAAGGTAATTTTAATGAATGCCATATTTACTGCCTGGTTCTTAACATCATGCGGGAGGAAAAATGGGTGAAACTTCCCCCTCAGGCTTCGAATGTCGCACCTTATAGGCACGAGGCTGACTACCTGCCACAGCTTCACATCACTCAGCCTTTCTACAAACCTCTGTGGCTTTGACTAGACCTCTGCTTGGGCTGCTCTCACTCACGTGTTGCAAGCTTACCATTTAAAAAGCAAAGGTATCTTTCAACGCAGTGACGGCATGGTCAGCAGCAGCCCACAGGAGCTGTTTTTGATGATACTCCTAAGGCTGGAAATGCATCCAGTTCCTGACCAAAATGCTCACACTCCTCCCCATCGTGGAGCAGTACAGCTCTTGGTGCCGAGGACGCCAGTGCTTGGACCAGAGTTCAGGCTGAGCATCAGAAGAGCTGGGGAGCTGTAGGAAAGGGTGGGGTGAGGGATTGTCAGAGCAGCACAAGCATTTCTCCATCTCATGGAAGAGGGGAAAAGGGCAGCAAGCTGATTCCTTGAGTTACTCAGACAGGCTGGTGTAATGTGGCTGAACTGGTCGTGCCAGTGTCTAGACGCATACTTGATTGCTTTGCAGAGCTGAAATGTCTGCCTGCACGCTGCAGACACGTGCAGATGAGCACCCATGACAATGTAGGTGTCAGACTTCAAATATTCATCTTTTATTCTCCAGATGGGGACCGGTACTTCATCTGCAGTGTCCAACAATTAATCAGTGATAGTTTGCTCGTAATACGCAACAGCAATAGCTGAAAAGTAAAAAAGAGCCCACCCAAAGACTGGCTGGAAAAAACGTGCAGCTTGTGGACTAATGATCTCTCTGGTGCATATGTCTGTGTTCATATCAAGAATAAATAAAAAAATAAGCTCATGAGGCCATACAATTGACTTACCTCATTGCACCAACTCAATCATAACAAGAGCATGTTTCCCTATATTTTATTAAACTACCTGTCTGCTTTGACTTCCCTGAAAGGCAGTGAAAGTTGGTGGCCCAGCAGATTAATATTCTTAATTAAGTAATATTGTAGTGGAAACCATGGGAATATATGAACATGGCCATTCTAGAGAGAGTTTTGCCTGAGGGATATGGTCTGATTGCGTGATTCATAGTGAAGGCACTCAGTCTTTGTAACCAAACTGCATGTGGGATGGGGAACGTAAGTGTCTATTATGTAATTAATATATATGATTCATATAAATACACATCAGAGTCATTTTACGTAAAGCTTCAGGTCTGATCCAACAAGTCCTTGGCACATACAACGTTTAGAGCAAGGAGTACGGGCTGGGTTGTTCTTGGAGTCAAAAAAGGTTGCTCCAAAGTAGCAGGAGGCCTGGTTTTCCTCTGGATTTAGATGTCCACGGGGTAGTCATTTGTATCCGAGAGAGTCACCTGGAGCTGACTTCCAAATCAGTGGGGACAAAACAGCATTTGGAAGACTCAGTTGAGTTGACCAGCCGGTGGATGTGCTGTGATCCCTGGCAGTGCTTTGGTGAGCCTGCTTCTGTCCATGGGTTCTACAACGCGTGTGCTTGAACAGTTCAGGTACAGGCATGTCTAATCAGATAGTCTGTATTTGGTGGGGCAGATCCCAAAGAGGTGATTAAATGGTTCAATAAACATACTCATATCGCAGCCTCATTACACTTCAGACCTGGTTTAAGCCAGCCAGGATCTGCCTCACCCGTACCTCTATCCACTCTATCCACTCTTGGGGCTTGAGCTTAAATCTTTGTGTTGAAAATATTCTTGAGAAGGAAGACAGGGAGACTTCTACACAGTTCCTGGATCTGCTTGCACTTCTGCCTAAATGCTTTGCTTTGTGCTTCACCTTTGAAAGACAGTTGAAGGGTCAAATGCAAAAGCTGCTGGAAGACTTGCCCAGTAACATTAATACTGGCTGTGAAAGAGCCTATTCTATGCAACAGTGGTTGGCAAATGCCTATCTGGCAAAAGAAAGAAAAGTAGAGGTGATGCTAAATAGCAGTACAAATCACCAGACCTACCTTTTCCAGCCACAGGCTGGTCCTCCTCACGGATATTTGTGTATATGGGACACGTTGCTGCAAATGGCACAAGCCAGGGATGCTGGCTTGGTGTCCCCATGCCCTCCCCAAACACTGGAGTCCCTGCAGTGAGCAGGGTGAACTCTGCTATCTTTGTACTTACTGTGCCATTGAATAAAGATGTGAGGTATATAATAATAAATGAGATAAATGAGGGACACCCTGGTCTGAGCCTGAAAAAGTCCACAGACCCAGTGCTCTGAGCTGAACCAGCTGTAAGGGAATCTCCATACCAAGAAATAAAACAGGGACAAGGCTGGGGCTGCTTTGGGGCTTGGCCAGTGTGCTGCTAGCAGGTCCCAGCCATGGCTTGGGAATGAGCACAGTCCTGAAGCCACTCCTAACAGGTAGCACCCCAGTTGTGGAGGCTAAAAGGGTTTAATATTGCAGCTGTGACCATATAGAACGGAGAGACAGAGAACAGACCAAACCCTGGGCTGTCTGCTAGCTTTGGTGCTGCCAAACATTCCCATCAATTCGTCTCGCCCAGTAGATATCACGGCATCAGTTTGGACTATCCCAGACCTTAATCAGATACTGAATTTAAGAGACTTTGCAGTTCTTCCAACTTGCTGAGGGTTGGCAAGGATATATCCAACTCTGCACATTCTGCCTGCGCTTTAATCAGTGACAGTACCGCTCTTTTACACAGTTTAATTTTCGTTCTTGTAAGCCTACATATCTTAAACCTAAATAGAACACATCTTGGGGAAGCTGC